GAATTGAATCTGAAAGTTGATTGTTGAAGAGATAAACACCTCTCAGATTGGGGGAGGAACCCAAGAGATGTAGGAATCATGCATGTGGTAGCGTTGTTGTGCAGGCTAATCTTTCTATGATCTTGAAGTTGGGCGATCTTCTCGGTGATATGGCTGCTTCATCCCTTCCAAGGGAGTTGGATCACTATAACCTGGCCTTTAATGCACTTGATCCCTGCTCATCCTCCTGAAAAAGATCCGAAGCCATTGACATTCCAGCTCCGTAATATTCCTAGAGGATTCACTAATTCGCATTTGAAGGCTTGAAGAGCTTGAAAATCAGCTTGAGTGATGACTATCCCACCCCACCACTGGCTCGATACTGAAGTATAATCGCCTCCGAGCCTTGTGTCCAGTCCAACCCACTTTTGCTGGACGTGTGACACATTTTGTGGATGTTTTACGGGGCAAGAGGGCTACGGGGGCTTTTCTTTTCAAGGAGGAGATCCATGGTTGCATAGGGAGTTGGGGTGGGTCGAGTTTTATAGGTGAGAGGGCTGGAATTGAGTGAGAGGCTGTAATGGTGATGAGAAAATGTTAGGTGCGTTTCCTGAGCGTGTGGGGATGATGGATATGGTTGACAGAGTTAGATTTATCGATGGTTGGAGTGCTGGTAGAAAAGAGGAAAACTAGTTCTGATGGTTGATAAAAAAAATTAAATGATTAAATGATACTCAAAGGGCATTTATGTCCTTTTGCATGCCACTTAACGGCTGATTAATGATAAGTACTGGATTGACACGTTTTGAAAGTTCGAATACTAAATTGTCACATTTTAAAGTTTAGGGACCAAAGTGGCACTAGGCCTAAAGTACAAGGTATTAATTAGGATTATTTTTCCCTTATTAGAATCTCTAAAAAGAGGCATGAAAATGTCCAAAATATCCAAGCAGTTACTTTTGACTAAAATGCTTATTTTCTAAATTTTCTCATATGAATTGAATCATTAGCCTAAGCCTTTCCAATTTCTTTTCGGAAATTCAATTATTTTCTAGCCCTTCATATCAATCAATCAAAGGTGAATTTGCAACTTTAAATTCTCTATTTTTTTATTATTTATAAAATTGTATCATTTTCTTTCATAAAACTAGCTCCGGTGGTAATTATATGGGTATTTTGGACATTTTTGTGCTTTTTATTAGAGGATCCTAGCAGATGAAGTCTATCTTCAACTGTGTCAAAATATTTAGGGGAGGTGATTGCAATTTTCAAAAAACTTCAGGAGAGGTTTTAGCAATTTACCCTATAATTAATTAGTATAATATCTGAAGCTCCTGTTAATTGGGAAAAGAATATAAAAGATTATGAAGCTTGTGTTGGGTTATAAGTGCATCTTACACCAATAGTAGAACTAGAAAGTTGTAGTATTATAGGGCTAGTTTTTCTTTTCCTCTTTTGTAACACATTATCAAGATGAGTTTTTATATATCTAAGCAACTATAAAAGTAGAAAAAAATGAAATGAATATTCCGATTCTCACACCTTATAAATTTTTATTGATTTATATAATTAGAAACAATAACAGGTGGAGGAATCTATCAAAATAAAGAGGGTTGTATTGTATCATAATTGAGAGTTTAGATATATAAAACCAGAAAACCAATAAAAAACTATGGATTAGGGCAAAGTGAATCTTTGCCAAAAAAAACTACATATTCGTGCAGCCATGCTATGATTCCAGCCTTTTTGGCTTAAAAAACCATTTTTAGAAACATTTAACGTACAAGGTTGAAATCAATAAGTAGTTCCTCTCCTTCTGTGACTGTGGTTACCATCTTAAGTTCATATTGTATTCCAATTCCAAATCTGAATGCACTAATTAATTACAAATTAAGGTTAAAGTGACTTACATCCCTACAAATTATGCTGACCCTACCACGATTGAGGTATAATAAAGAAATGGAAATTCGTAGGACGTTAAAGAACCTTTCTAAGACAAGCCATGGCAGTGGCATTGTGGGGTTAGCATTGTGATTCTCTAAAGATTGATACCAAACTCCAACTCTAACCCTAACCCTAGTACAAAGGAAGCTAAACTCCATCGTTTGAAACAAAATTCTAATACTAAACCCAAGAATTAGGGCTAGCTAAAAAGCCCAAGATTTAGGAGGAAGGCAAAGTAGATGCACTTTTCGTCCATGAAAGGGAGATACTCACTTTACACATCAAAAGGTAATAAACAATGACTATACTAGACAAAAAAGAAGGATTACTGGGGCCATGCAATTGGGGTCCTTCATTCAGAATACAAAGCAGATCACCGGGGTGCTGATGTGGTAAACCTGATCAGAAACCCTGAAAAGAAAAAAAGAATCCCAACACCCACTCCCCAATTGTTCCTTTGACATGTGATCTGTCTCAACCAGATAGAATCTCTTATCTCCTTAGTTTCTCTACTTTTGAAGCTTAGTTATTTCTACTGTCAAAGTGTGTGTATATGTCTGGGTCAAGCAGCACAATAAGCCAAGTTGTAATACCACTGAACTGTAGTATTCTTAGCTGTAGTTTGGACAACATGGATCTATTTTGCTGGTGATCAGTAACGATGATGAAAACCCGACCAAGTATTGACCAAGTAGTCATTGAAATTTGGTTGTTTGAAGGAATTAATCATATCTCTGCTCCTGGCCCTCTGGGCTCCCCCAGTTAGTCAAAAGCTGATTCATCTTAATAGAAAGGCCTTCAATATCGATCCCTTGTTCCCAAATGGTCTAGTGTCAGCATGGTTTAAAGTATCGATACGATATGGGTATATTGTATCGTATCTTTTAAAAAAGATATAGTCCAAATCGTCTGTTTCCAAGTGTTTCAGACCTTCAACTTTTTTTAATTAAACGTTTTAAGTTCTTTAAAAAACCAAATTTAAAAAAAAAACTAAAAAAAAAGTATTTCTTCCGTTTCTAAGTACCAATACAATACAATCCAAATACATATCATATCAATACTTTGAACCGTAATCACCCTTTCCAACGCTGATGCACTTAGGAGATATTATTTGCTAAATGCACATCCAAATTGGGGCTGTTTCAATCCCATTGGAATGAAAAAGTAGATATCACAATGATGGATGGGGTCCATCCATATGTGTGCATAAGACTGCTTTTAGGATTCTAGGACTCTACCTGTATAAATTATCTTTAATGCCTTTATTAATCTATATATTATTCAACAGTTTATTGGAGCAAAAGAAAGCAGTCGGTTTTTATATATGCTATTCCATGCCATTGTGGGAAGTATTGAAAATGACATTATTCTTATCCACACCCGGGTCCCGGCCTTAAGATTTTTTTTTCTCCTTTTCTTTTGTTTTTGGATACACGAACCTGAATTTCAATTTGGTCGGGCATGAAGATAGTTAGGAATTGGAATAACCAATGTTTCTGGAAAGCAGATGACTAATCGAGGAGGAATGATCCATATATTCCATTGCACAAACCTGAATTCAGTATTCACTATGGGTTGTGGCCCGGCCTGGCCCATATATAATATATAATATATTAATAATATAATTTTATTATACTATTTCATTTATTATTGTATATATAAATAATTTGTATACACCAAAATTCATATAAAATAAAATTTTAAGATTTTTTTATTATTTTTATTTTATTAATTTACTTTAATATTTTATTTTTATTTTTATTTTTTATTTTTAAATTTACCTTTCATGGCTTGGCCCAAAGCTCGGCCTGCGATACAGCATGGGCTCGGACTGTAAACCATGCCGGGCCGATCCCCTAAAGTGTCCTAGGGGAGGAAAGCATGACCCGGCTTGGCCCGTAGACCGAAACAAGCTGTGCCATGCCTGCCAGCACAGTCCAATTTATACCTCTACCTATATGGCATAAGAAGATGGCTTTTGTCATGGATTGTTCAAAACTAGAATAGTCCAATACATCAAGGGGCTAGTTAGAGATGTAGCATAGTAGGAAAGGGATAAAACATGGCCAATATAGAGGGATTCCATCTCTTATGGATGATAATTATGTTCAATTTGAAAAGAGTACAAATGTAAATATATACATTGTGAATATATACAAAATAATACAAAATATAAAGTTTTGCTCTCTATATATTTACATTTTTACTCCTTTCAAACTGAGCCTTAGTTTTTTTTTTTTTTTTAACGAGATAACAAGATGTCTTTCACATGATTATCAGTTTTTTAGGTATCATGCATGCCTTAGGGGTGTCGTAGTCGGACTTAGTTTATATAAAAATCAACATATGCTCATTAGTAAAGATGGATAAAATATCCTATTTTCATAAAGACGCCTAATTTTAAGTCAAATAATAGCTATTTTGCAATACCTAAGTCATCATCATTCTAAGTTCATTTAATATAATATCCGAATCCGTTACAAGTCAGATCAAAATTTCACGGATTCGATCCAAATCCAAATATTAATTGGGTGTGGGTTGGGTTCAGATATGGGGAAACCTGATCCGTTTACAGTCCTGATGCCACGTGGCGAAAGATGTTTGAATGAAAATTTGCCCCCATTTATAGATAGTGGTGCTGGATGACACGTATCCTTTTTGCTTACCACCTAAGCCCCCCACATGGAAGATTCCTTCAGTTGTTCATATACTTTTGTGCTAGACAAGTCATCTGTCTTGGCAAAGCTAACTCCTTTTATTTATTTATTTTTGAGCCAGAAACCCAAGATACTGTATTACATATTTACAGCAGTTGGTAACAGAAAATTACAGGAGAGGCTTTGACAAATAAATCTTTTCGACCTGGAACAACTATATCCACATCAAATCCTTTATATATTCCAATCATCTAAAGCTATTGAGACATAGATAGGAATATATATATGTAAAGTGCCCATGTTAATTAAGAAAAAAACAACCCATGAACAGTCTTAAAAGAGATTAGAGGTTTAGATATTTAGTTAAAGAACACTGTACACCGGAAGGTTAATTTCATATATATTTAACCCACTCTTCATACGACACATCCCCAGGTAAATCAGCCTGCTATAAATAGGGCTTCTCTGCAAACCAAACTCATCATCTTGTGCAGAGGAATCAACCTGAGAAAATGGAGTCGAACCGCAGGCGTAAAGGGTTCATCAAGCTGGTAAATCCTTTCTATCGAACACCAAAGTCTTCTCCATCTGTGCACAGTAGTAGCAAGGTTAAGCCAAGCCCAACTCCGATGACGAGTTTCGTTGTTGACAAGGATGTGACGATGCCTCCACAGAAGCAGAAGGTGTCATTTGTGAAGTCAGCAGCAGTAGACGGTCATCATCGTGATTCAAGTGGCGGACCTAACACTCACAGTGCTATGGTCGTTACTGGTGAAGACAACGTCGACATCAGAGCTTCAACCTACATCTCTTATGTTCAAGAGCGTTTCAGGCTCGAACAAGTTGACTCGGGTTGGAGGAAGTACCAAGAGACGCACTAGCTAGTGGCTATTAATTAGCTAGCTAATATATATAATAGCATTAAGTCTCTTCTCTCTCAATCCTCCTTTCATATTCCTTCTATTAGAATATATATATAAACCGACTTAGGGAAAGAACTGATGTAATTCCTCCAAGGTCATAAGTTTGTGTTTGAATATGGGGTGGGGTTCTTTCACCAATAAAAAAATATTTATATATATGGGATGGGCTTCATTTATTGTTTGGAGATCGAGTATGGTGTTTTCTTTTTGCTTGTTCCATCTGTTTATGTAAGATTGATCTTCGGAGTCGGAGATATATCAGGTTATGCAGCTTATACTTGCCAGCTCTGTATTAAATAGTTGCAACTTAATTCCGGTGGATAAAACTTTTAGCTCATCGAACCCAGATTTCCTGCACTCACTTTGGTGTAGGATGTGGTGCACTTCTAATCATATTCAAACACGTCATCCTTCACATGGTCCCTTGTTTCACATGTGCGGATTAAAGTACATGGAAAGTTTGGGGCATTTTGTCTATAAAATTCATTTTTTGAAACTTAAAAAATAAAAAAGTGAAAAAAAGGAAATTTGACAGTGTAATTTGATAGACAAGAGAGGTTAAACAAAACAATGGGAAACTCAAACTAATGGCTTGCTTGCCAAACCCTAGATGGCCAGAGATTTACAGGAATAGATCGTACTTGAGTAAAGGGGTAGAAATCGTTTTGCAAGAAAAGGGTTTTTTTTTTCTTTACTGTTTGTTATTCTTCTTTGGGCACCGTTAACAAGGGATTTCTAGATTTCTTTTTCTTCTTCAAATTTCAATCAAGGGTGGAAGCCATTTTCAATAAAATTGTTTGATTTCACCAGTGTGACTTCTTTTTCTTCTTCAAGTTTCAATCAAGGGTGGAATTCATTTCCAATCTTTTTCTTTTTCAAATTTCTTCTTCTTCTTCTTCTTCTTGGATCCTTATTTTTTACAAGTGAAGCTACAACAAGAGTATTCTACAACATCAAGATGCACTTTGCACCGAGTTAAGCAATGAACAGGTAGATGGAAACCACATCTAAACCACACGTGCTCATGTGAATTAGATTCGATATGATTCCTTAAATGAGTTGGATTTATAAAATTTCAGGCGCCTTTTTCCTGGTAATAATGGTTATGAGAAAAATGTCTTCTGGGTTCTATATTGTAAACGTATTTGAACACCAAGAAATATCAYGAAWAGAAATTTAATTGAATTCCATCCCCTTGGCTGAAGAATAGTATTCCTACAAATCATTTGTTAATGGTGTATACTCATGACTAGAGTTTTTCTGGTAATAATGATTATGAGAAAAATACCTCTTCTGTTTCATCAACATTGAATCCTRAAGATTGCAATGATTTCATCCTTGGTCTTGCTTCTTTGCTCTTCTTTGATCATGGAAAACAGTTGTTGTTGAGGAAAGGCTGGGGACTCTCGAGGACTATGAGCCAAGGGATTAGTTTACCATCTATTGAATTAGATAGCCAATTAATTTCATTATTTTAAGTTTCAAAAAATGAATTTTATAGATAAAACGCCACAAATTTTTTGTTTACTTGGATCCGCACATGTAAAACAGGGGACCATGTGAAAGCTGACGTGGTTGAATCTGATTAAAAGTGCACCACGTTGCTTACCAAAGCGAGTGTAGGAAATTCGGGTTCTACCTCATTGGCCGGTTCGATCATTCAAATCGTTACACGTTCTGATTGTTTCATTTAAAACGGCAAAACCATACAACTAATTATCTGGTGTTTTACACAGAAAAGCTTTATAGGAAGGCCATCACCTCCAACTGAAGTAATAGCCAGGAAATCCGGTTTGGTGGTAGTGTGGTGTATTTGACTAATTGGCAGAGAGAGAGAGAGAGAGGGGCAGAAAGTTGATCAGGAAAGTGTATCCCTAGAGAATGTGCTTCTCGGAGTAGGAATATTCCCTCTCTCTCTCTCTGGGCTTAATAACATAGATGGAACCCCGACCAGAGAACTCCAGAAGGGTTTATGTTATCTTCTCTCCACCATCATTAATCCATGTGAAATGGTCTTCAGTGTTAAAGTGAATAAGAAAATGAATAGACGGTCAGCCCAGAGGATCTCTTATGTGATTCGTAGATTGGATTGGCAACAATTTTGTGGCTGATTCAGATCATCCATATCAGTTAGGGGGCCACCCGGATCAGCTATGTGACAACTCGATGTCCCCACATTGTCACCTTGTATGGAAAGTTGCTCAGTTTTTCTTTTTTCCTTTTTTTGTTTTGTTTTCTTTTTCCTGATCTGAGCCACACAATGAGGGCGGGGTAGGCCAGCTTAATTTGTTAATTTCTTCTGGTTATGACCAATTCATAAATAGTGGAGAGAGAGGAACCCGGAGGCCCTGAATCGTAGTTTAGGAGGATTGTGTTGCTATATAATAAGAGATTTCTTATGGCTGTTTGTGATTTTGGTAGAAAACAGAAAGTTGAGGGAATAAAGTCACAAGGAATTTCACAAAAGAGGTAGCCCTCCCCCAACCCTGAAACCCTCAATTCCTTGGTAAGGGCTGGATTCGATCCCCCAAATCTACTAGCAACCTATCTAGTTTTACCTGTTTTTACCATCTAATTAAAATTTTAAATTGTAAAATTACTCACGAAAGGCTTAATTTATTATTAACTATTATCAAAGGAAAAAAAAAAAAACAGAACGTAGCCTGCCTTACCCCATATCCAAACAATGAAAGGCTTATTCGGGATTTTTGGGGTTAGAATTTACCCTTTTTAACAAGATCACCGTGCCACATGCATGTATTTAATGTGTAATAGATGCTATATACACACATTCAAATATAAATCCAAAGTATTAGTTATTGTTGTAATTACTGTGCAAATATACATAAGCGTCCAAGATAAGATAAATCAATTCATCAATAGTATCTTATGCCTCCTCCAACTCCTCCTCCCTTGGCCCACAATAAAGAAAACGAGAATAAAAGGAAAGACCTTATGCTTCTCTTTTGAAAATAGGCGTGGGCTCCATCTTGACCAAGCCTTCATTTCAACATTCAACTATTATTAACAAGGGTACAAATAATTCATGAAATATGAAAATTTGTTTTTTTTTTCTTTGAAAATGATTTTTTTATGGCTATGTTGTCATAGCCATGGTATGGCTATGATGAATGAGAAATTGAGTGATGTAACCATTTTTTCAAGGGGACCCCTTGAGAAACATGGGTCGTCCCAAACTGGGACCCCTAGAGAAATATGGCTAAGTTCATCATAGCCATATGATTCTTTTTATTGCTAATTTCAGTTATCAATGAGTGATGTATCATATGGCTATGATCATCTCTCAATTAGATTTCTACTGCATCTGTTTGAAGGGGATCATAGCTAGAGAAACATGGGTCCCAAACTGTTGAACAGTTTTTGTTTCCTCTGTTGAAATAAACTGTTGAACAGTTATTTAAAAAATTAAAATATAAAATAATTGTCTATTTTTATGTATTTCCATTTTTTAGTTTGCGCTTAGTAAAGTCTGAACATAGCACGAATTTCCGCTAATATTTAAATATTTTAAATAAGAACTAACTTAAGAATTAGTAATATTTCAATTACCTTTAACGCCAGTTATTGATATCAAATGAATTAGTAATAGTAAACCTTTTACGTGGTCTACTATTGCAGAGTTTTTATATAATACTGTTGAAAGGGACTCTTCATCGAGCTAATAGAATTCTGCCTACGGGGCTCTTTCAAAAAGAGAAAAAAATGATATCGAATGAATATAATGGTGTATGACAACTGATGTGGCACGATCCGGGTATTCCTACTTGGCGGCTGAGAATTCCTTGCTGGCAATGAGCGGTACCTGAGAAGACGAAATGAAGGATTCCCGGGGGTTTGTCCGGTGGGAATACTCCGATGCTTAAGTTAGTACTGTGTATGGAAGTAAAGAGGGCAAAATGAAAGCTAAGAGTGGAGGTCGCGCTTATCACTATATTCGAGAGGTTGGAGGTCTCAAGAGCGTTTCTCCTCTGCCCTTGGGGCTTTTATAGGAGCGCTCTTGCGAGATCGGGCATAACCGCCACAGGGCTCCTGCCGCAGCCGTTACCTGCCAGGTTTGCACAGGTGATTGTTACAGTATACTATCCGCTTGGTCGAGTGACACATCCCAAAGGGGCAGGCACGCCTCCATCTGTCGAGAAACGTGGGCATAGACTGTCGAAAGAACAAGGACTGCGCCGCCAGTCGAGGGACGCAGCGCAGTCTATTCGGTACGGTCTTGTCAGATGGAAGCTTCCTGAGAGCGTCGCATCACTCAGTCACAAGTTACCTCGTAGCGAGCTATCTTTGGCACGAGCTACTTTGCAGCAAGCTCTTTGGGGTACTTCGAGGTGACCCTCATCAAGGTTGGTCTTTGGGGCAGCCTTCTGCCCAGGTGCTAGAGCGAGCTGGTTTCCCTAGCTTGCGAGCTGAAATATTCTTGGAGTATTTCCTTATTGGTAGCTCGGGGAACCTAGAGCTCGCATTGTAGCGAGCCTCTCCTTTACCTTGCCACCGCGTAGCAGGCTGCTTTATGAGCCTATCACTCAGCGTCCACGTGTCACCGTTTCATAGGTCGGGTCAAATCATCCTTCATCAATTGCCCCCCACTCCTCGGGCTAAGAGTGTCGCCTTAGCGCGGGGAGTTTATGAAGCGCGATGGATTGATTTGACTGAAATTCAAACTTGATTGACCGTAATAAATGCATTGGCGGGAATCAAGAGATCTTCTGACTCCTCCGATTTCTCGGATTCTGAAAACATGATGAGGTGGCCTTTAATTCCGAATGTCGTGCGGCTGCGACTACCTTAATCGTGGAAGATGTGCCGCCAATCGCCTTCGGTTTTCAGAAGGCGTGCAGTTAGGGTGCCCGCGGGCCGTTGGATCTGTTTCGATCTGGGTCGTCGGTTTAAGAGGGCGAGGGCTATAAATGGGGAGCCCCCCTCGGCCCTACCTTCGTCCACGCCATCTTGCTTTGGATTCAGAGGTTGCGTACTTCGCCTGGTCTACTGAAGTTTCTCAGTCCACCCCATTCCGTCTACTCTAGTGAGTCTCGATCGCCGTCAGCCATGTCTGGGTACCCACGCCATACCTACCACAGGGGTGATGGTCAGGATGATGACGATGCTCCCTCGAGCTCGGGGGGAGCCTAGGAGCATATCCCGGAGGCTCGGGAGGCCTTTGGCGACATGGCTTCCACTTCTAGGGGGAGGGAGCCCGATACCTTTGGCCCTTCCTTGATGACAGCGGAGAGGCTCAGGTCTCTGATCCGCTAATTTCGCCTTCCCAAGGACCTGGT